TCTACATTGCACCTGACCCCACGCCTCCCCCTGAAGGTGGTGGGCCCACAAGGAGGTGGACCTGTGTTGCTCCATGGGGCTATGCCTCTTCGGCACCGATACCCATTCCAGTATCGGACCAATATCTGGTATCAGTATCAGATCAGTCCATCCCTACTAAAGACTAGGTCCCGGTTTGGTCCCTCAGAATTTTATATATTTTGGTGACAAATTGCATTCATTTGTATATCATAGTTTACCATATTTTATGATAAAGTAATGTGTGGTGTTACATCCGTATGCGTGTGGGCGGGTATGTGTAGCCATTCTTTTTCTCCTGCCGATTCCGGTTCCACATTTTCCATCTCTCACCACGAAAGCCGTGCCCAAACTGGATGGACTGGTTGGCATCGCCTCGTTCCCATTTCCCGCCTCTCCAGCCACGGATTATAAACGACGCCTGAACACCACACCTGACAGCTTTTTCACTCCTGCTCTGTCTTTGCTTTGCTTATTGTATTTTCTGACCTGCTGTTATGACCTGTTTCTGGCTCTCGACTCTCGCGCTTTTGGATTTCAATTCGGTTTCGGCTATTCGGCTTGTGTATTTGTTTACCCGTGTTTTGACTATTGTCTGGTTATCAACTATTCTTAGGATTACGGATTGGACTTGGTTGCCCGGTGTAAATACTGTATATATGTGTGTTTGTGTGTGTGTGTATGTGTGTAAGGGTTGTAGGGAGTGACTGCCATTTGTTTTCTACGTGTATGATGTTTTGTCCCTGTTTTGTGGTTAGAGAGGGTTAGGATAGCGTTTGTCTTTTGTTTCATTTTTCTTTCGGGTTAGGGAAGTTTTGTCAGTACGCGGGTAGATAGTTCACTTGGTTTTGTTTATTGTTTTGGCCGGTGTCACTCCTGAAGTTCACATTTCCCCAAATACACATATTTTCTGTTACAATCAACACCTTGGGTGTTAATTATTCCCCGACCTCCTTATCCTCTACCTCCCGACTCCCCGTTCCCGATTTCCCGAACCTTACCGCTGTTTACGCCCCGTCCCTAGACCGGGACGTAACAGAATTGGGGGCTCGTCCGGGATCATTCATTCTCACTTAGGGTATTGGGCTGGTAAACTGTAGTGTGGTGTGGCAAAGGCCAACTTTGATCTGACTCACTTTACTCTGTGTCCCACCTTGGAAGGCTTTGATGTCTGTAGAAAGATAGATGTTACAGATCGCTGCTTTCTTTGATGTGCAGGTGCCTCGGGAGCCATTCTTCATAACAAAAAAAAGAATTTAATACTTAATATATGTAATATACTTAATATATGATAGATCTTAGTTATACTGTAACATTCATTTCAAATTTACCTAAAATGCCAAGGGATGGACATGTCATAATGGGAAGTAATGAGTGTGGCTGAGTTTAAACTTCATCTGCTTTTCATTTGTCATCTCACAGTGTTTCTTTCTTTGTAACCTGTGCTTTTCGTCTACTTTTAACATGTAAACCTAGAATGGAACAGCTTCTTAATATCTAGGGTGTCGTCTTAGTTTTGAAGAAAAAAATAGATCTAATTAAAGACTAATTTAGAAAATAATGTATAATCTAAGACAACAAAATTGGAGTCATTTTATAACAAAAGATGAAAGGATGTAATGTGACATTTTTTATGCTAATTTCAGGCTCCCTGAGTTATAGTGAATTAATAGTGCAACCCAATGAAAGGTTGTTCATTGGGCAATTATCAGACTTAGAAGAAGCATGTGACAAAGTTCCAGGATATAGAACTACAAAACGCTCTGTACATGAAACATTGATCGCCATTGCATGAAAGGCATAGCAATGCAATCAAGCATTAAATATAAGACATTTAATGATGAAAAATATACACAAACCTTTGGAAGAAAATTGGGTGAAAAAAAATGTTTATTGTGCAGTTATATAACTGATATTTTTACTTTATTTCTTCATGTCAGCAGAAATGTTTTCCCTGGATATGTCAGCCTAAAATACAAATGCAGATAACATGCAGTGTAAGCTTTGAACGTACACAATAGTACATGCAGGACTCTCTGATTGACTCTATCTCACAAAATTAAGGCTCTTATCTGCTTGTGTTTCAGTCCTGCATTATGTCAGTGACACAATTACTAATTAGTCTTGCATATTTATGTTTTGGGTGTGGATATTTTCCCTGCTGCAGGCCTAAGAGGAAAACTACAGTGTACTCTACTACTGCAAATCCCAGGCACTGCAGGAACTCAGCCATAGAACTCCGATACAACTCTGCTGACCCCTGCTGGTCACATAGCTATATGTCCATAACGTGGGGTTTCAACACATAGATGAGGATGCCTGAGATCCCATCTAAACATAGGCTCAGTATTCTAAAATGCAAGTATGAAGTTTATGGAACTTGTAAATCAGCAATTACAATGAGTTTTTTTTATTGTATTAACAAAGCATTTTGGCAACAGCAGTTACAGAAGCAGAGAGAAAATGCCTTTACACTGTGGCAGTGTTGATTTATTTTTATTCATGAGATCTTATCAAGCTACTTTTCAAGTCACTTACAGTTGTACCTATTCAGTACTGTGACTGAATAGCAATAAACCACACCTCTATACTTTAAGTGAAGTGTAGAGGAACCTGAGGACTCACTGTCCACTGAGTGTCCACTCCTGGTCTGACTTCTAACCTTGAAACTACTGGCTACTTATATTTTCTGTGCTTTACTTACCTTGCCATATAGGAAACCAATTACATGTATCTGGTAGCTTGTAGAGTATCATTCCCAACCTGAGCACAAAAATATTGTCTCATTTGACAAGTGTTTACAAAGACATTTTCATGATGTCTCCTTCCCAAAACCTTTGCAATCTCCACCATACACTAATGACAGGCATCAAGGTCCAATATAAACAGGGCACTGCAGCCAGCATCTGAAAAAAATCGGAAATAATGGTCAAATTACCCTTTTTCACTGTAGGAGGGTTTGTACTGCATGCAATCCATTTCCCATGAGGCATTAGAAACTCCCGCGCCAAATCATTAAATTTATTTTAAGCAATACATTTAAAATGTATGTTTGTATTGTGCTTTTTGCAACACTGAGGACATGCAATTCAAAAATGAAGACGAAACATGTTTGGAAATGAATCATTGTTACGGTGTAAATTAGTAAAACCAAACCAAGAATCTCCCAAGGAGAATTGTTCGCATCAATAAGCATCAAAAATTTACCCTAAAAATGTTTGTATACAAGCTAGGGATGTTAACCGATGACCGTTTGACCGGTGGTTGACCGTATCAACGTTAACCGGTCAAAGTTGTCGGTAGTCGGTTAAAAAAAAAAAGTGATATCTAAATTAGGCTATTATAGACAGTGGACTATACGCTACTACAGTTAGCCATCTCATTCCTCATCTTTTTGTGTTAAGTGAACAAATTATCCCTCACACTCAATTTTTCATAACTCGCCTGTTTGTACTTAATAAACCAATAAAAACATTTGGCGCGAGGTCACAGCGTTTGGGTTCGCGCGCTCACAAGGTTTGCGAAAAGTAAAGGCAACAGGCTAGACACTTGTCTTTTTGAAAAATAAAAAAATAATATTAATTATACAACAGAGTTGTCCTGTCCGTTATTAGAAGGCACACAGTGAGTTAGACCTGCCTTGGCCGGTGCGTCTTTTACGCATTCTGAAGGTGCCTGTTTTATCCATTGGTTTTATCATGTTGCAGTCTATTAGGCAACATTCCGCATAAGATGGGCTTAGATTTGGAAATACATTACATCTACAGTGGTAACCGATAAGGTGATGATGATCATCATCTTTCTTTATTATGGTTAGCACTACCTCAACTAAAGCGGCGTCTCTTCGGAGCTGTCATTTTCTTAAATGAGCCGTGGCAATGTTTCAAATGAGCTTCTAACCTAGACAAACGCCTTTATTTTCAAAGCGATCACCTTGTACCCAAACCATTTGAAACTAAGGAGCCATTTGTCCTACGATTACATACAACAAGCTCTTCGGCGCCGCGTTTGCGGGACTCATGTTTCGCGCTGTAGGGGATTTTAAAAAAGTGACATGAGTGGCAGTGTGTGTGTGTGTGTGTGTGCGGGAGGCAGAGCGGCAGAGAGATGCGACAGAGTTGCGAAATTGCAGGCGCGGCTCGAAATGGCTGTTATTTCAAATAGCGTACCATATTTTAAACTAATCGGTTAACCGGTTTCAACCGGCTACTGAGGCTCGGTGGTCGGTCAAGAATTTTTTTAGTTTTCGCCATCCCTAATACAAGCTTTCTAGACACAAGGCGGGGACTGATCACCCCATGTATGCTGATGAAAGACCCGAAACAGCTGATGACCCCAGGTTACATTAGCAATGGTGTGTCCAGGTTGCACCGTAAAGTGTGTGTGCAAATCATCCAAGCAGACTATCACAATCCTTCCAATATGTAGGTCATGAACGATGGTACATCAGTGTTGTTATACAGCATCTGTAACGTACAGCTTACATGCATAGCTACAATACACCACCTCATTATGCTAATCTCAAAAACCTGGATCATTCACTTTAAACATCCATTCAGCTAGTGGATGGTAAAGTAATCACTGCAATGTAGCAGTTATGAGCACTGTAAAGCTGGGGGGAGGGGGGTTAGCTAGGGGTGCATCCAGTAGTCAAAGCCCCATAAACAGAAGCCTGCTGAGATGTTTGGTATACTTTTCTGGTAAGATCTGCAAAGCCCCATAAACAGAAGCCTGCTGAGATGTGTGGCAGTGTGTGGCTCAGTGGGCTAAGCCTGTGTACCTATAATCACAAGGTCGCCGGTTCAAACCCAGCCTCAGCACGTCTTAAGGCCCTTAACCCCCAGCTCCCTGGGCGCCCCAACAGGTGGCTGCTCTTCGCAGACAACTTACTCTTCAAAGGGCAAGTTGAGGGAGGCGTAAAAACAATTTCCCCATGGGGATCAATAAAATATTTTTTATTATTATACTTCTCTGGTGTTACAGTCTATAAAGATAAGATAAGATCGATCTTTATGTCACTATTACAGAAACAGTGAAAAATAGTTCAGCAGCATAAGTTAAAGTAATAAATAAGAAATAAATCCTATTACAGTGTGAGTGTCTGAGTACAATGTGTACAATGTGTCAGTCGAGGTAGTGTGAGCTTAATGACCTGCCCTAAGCATAGAATTGCATGGAAGACAGTCATATAAAATGATTATTCATTTGGACCTCACTAATATTCAGAAGCGATGTAAGAATTGGATGTGCATAACATGCGATGTTGGTATTAATATTAATATTGGTATTACCTAACCAAATGCCTCAAAAGTTACAATCTGAGCTAGAAAAATGACTGCAGCAAATTGCTTTGCAAACCATTCCAAAAGAGACGATTTACCCCACGACTGTCGAACGGGCTGAGCTCAGTGATTTCCACGATGCAAGATGAACACACCACCTTCCCCGTTACTGGCTGCAGACACAGACAACCAACGGCTTTTCACTTAATCTCACAAGCCCAGAATGTCTCACAATGCATAGAAAGGACAAATAGTAATAGTAAGGACAAATTTTCTGGTACCATTTTACAATTCTGAAGGCTGCCAAAACTGGAACGCAGCCAGTGTAAGTGAACAAAATGAGCAACAGCGTAGCCTTACCGTGATGGTTGTTTCTTCCTGGTTTAACCTCATATACAGGGGAAAAACCTTCAGAACAAAAACAGTTGGAGGTCCCAAGTGAATGGACAGGGGAGTGTTTAGGGGGGGGTGGTGTTTACAAGAGCGCTGAGGAGGAAACACTCATCAGGACTCAACTTGTCATTTCTTCAGTGTTTTTCAGCACAAGCTGGACGCTGCAGCCAGACTTCAAACACCTAACAAGATAAAATATATTAGCAGGTAAATAAAAACCTGCTGAGAATTGGCACAGCCACAATTACATGTTTAATTTTGCCAGATAACAGACATCTGAGTGGAAAAAAATAAATCAGATGGAACCAGCATATACCGGCTCCTCTTCTCTTTACTGTGGAAGGTGGTGTGTCTAGTTACTGCCTGAAATTCTGCACAACGGCACTGCAACACAATACAAACATGAATAGGAAAAGCGGTTGCCGAAAATGGATAGAATGCAAAATATAAAACTTTTAAAAGTTTAAATTTACATGGTTTAAGTATTTTCATAAAATGCTGATGTATAATAATAGTAAAAATGTCAGTATTGTGCCAAAGTAAGGAAACCTACACATGTGTTTTGCCCACATCCTTGGCGTCATAGCAAATCGAGTGACGGTCTTCCAGTAAATCACACATTTCACGCAAGCATAAGAGAAGGTGAATATTCAGCAGACCTTACTCTCTCAGTAACAAGACGTCCACAGGACAGCAACTGTTCTCCTAAGCCATGAGCTGTTCATCGTCTTCATCAATGATCTTTAGACTACGACGCAAACCAATTAAGTAGTAATATCTCAATGTATTTCTTTCCTTCAGTAGGGTGAAATGTTCGTAGCCAATAAATCAGAATGCAACTGTACCTTGTCAAAGATAAGATCCCAGTCTCCATTACCAGAGTCAACTAAAGACTCCAGATGCTGTTGGTCTGGAACGGATCATTTCATGCATAGATGCTGTTGTGTTCGGGCTTTTTTTAATCGCTGAGCCTTTAGCACAGCATTGCTCAGTGATGAACTGTCATGCCAGTTCATGACGCTGCTGCTAATTCTTTTCAGAAGAGCTTTGGTGTCAGCTGTTGGGACCCATATGGAATATCAAATTCAAATGAATTGGAATGGTTTGCAAATCTACGTGTACAGGGTGTATCGTAATATGTCAAATGTTTAGGACGAGGTACACTGTACCCACGGCCGTAACCTCCAGTCTGGTTGTGTAGTGCAAATGGGTGATTTTAAAATTACAATTGCCATTGTGCGGTTCCTCTTGAACTAACCAAAATAACATGATCACCATCTTCTTGGCTGCGGTGTATCCACCTCCATCCCCGTGGTATTTAGACTGTGATATATTATTTCAAAACTAAGTTCTAGAATGCATCATAAAGACTACAAATTAAAATGGCGAAATGTAAAACTTGCAAAAACATTCAAAACAAATTTAATCACTTTAAAGGAAAAAAATAAAATAAATCAGGTTTCATGTCATTGACCCACGTTTGGATCACTTTGCATGGCTTTGTTGAGCGTTTTCATCATATTTACGCCTTATTTAAAATATGCAAAACAAAGTGCTTACTTTCGTTCCACAGACACTCAACAGGTACGGTTGGACCGGCACAGACATTTAGATCACTAGGCCAGTCCTTATTGGTTTGTGATAATGCACCAGACTGCACCAATGAACCCAGATACATCTAATCAGGTTATGTATGACTGCTTTCTGTTGGGAAACAGCAATTGCGTATGGAAATGATCAATGAGAAAGAAGGAGACCTCAGACATGGAAAACTACATCATTCATTAAAATTTACAATTTATACATTATAATGGCACACAGTCGGTCTCAATGTAACATGTAACATTAAAACAGGATGAGAGACAGTGAACAAGGATGGGTTCCCCTGTCAGAGCATCCGTGCTGAGACACCATGAAGCATTTCTGAGTCGGGAGAACAGAACGACCATAAATGTGAGCGAAGGACAGAGGGAACAGCTTGCATTTGATCGGGACTCACAAACTGCAGTTCCTGCCTTTTCACTCCATGTGAATCCTCACTTCCAGGTAACAGGTGTCAACTACAACACTGCAACTAACCCATCAAGGTAGCATGTCTACTTGTGTGGACACCCAGCTGTAAGGTTCACACAGGCTGTAGCAGTGGGATGGACGTTTGTTTGTGCAGCATAGGTTGAAAACACTTCTACCATGAGGTTCTACCTTATTTACACTGTCCACTGTGTGGCCCCACTGCAGAGAAAACAGAGTTTACAAATTTCCTAACTGCAGACCCATGAATGTTTCTAAAGTGCTTCACGTGAGACTAATGACACTAGAAACACAAGACTGGAAAGAGCCAGAGAGCATTTTAATATTGCACAAAACAGTTTTCTTTTTGTCTTGGAGCCTCTACTAAGTAAAATATAATCAAATACATAATCTCCTGTGCAAGCAAGCTTTACACGACCAGGTACCAATCAGCTACCAGCTACAGAAACAACAGGATACAGGCAAGGCAGCATGATGATGAGCTTCTTAACACGGGGTCATGCCAACAATATAGACACCTCTGTCTGAAAATAAATACTTCTAATAATCAAACCCTCCAGGTAAATAATCTCTATCTTTTGAGGACATTTAATATTAATATCTTTTGTGCATGAAAGCAAACTGGACACATTTTAAAGGATGTACAGTTCAGTTAGCTATGCTGTTGTTGGGCAGATACACAGAGCCTCCCAAGATACCCATTCCACCCATTTAGTACCCATTTAAAGTCTTAACGAAGACAGATTGTCACAAACACAACTTTTTTTTTTTTTTTTTTTACACACAAAATCCCCTTTTCTGAAACAGCTGTTTCACAATGTTACTTTAAAATTCACCAGCATGTCCTCAGCTCTGCTGGGAGGACCATGCATGTGTACGACACTCTCCCAGGCAGGCGAAACCTCACCTTTAACATTTCCATGCTGGCAATTTGAGAACCCCATTTGACATCAAAACTGTAACCTTCATAACATATAACTGCAAAAGTCCTAAGCAGATGCAGAGGATCAAATTAAACTAGAGAGAGGCGGCAGGACCTCTGAGAGGCAGGAACAATCATTTGTGTGTTTGCTTGATAACTACAGGTCAGAAGAGCTCCTACAGGTGTACTTGAAACAATCTGAACCAAGCACCTACGCTAACTCGCCAACTAGGGTAAAGGTCAGTCGTCTAGCAGTTGGGTTAGAATTTAAAAACTAATTCTACTGATTTATCCAAGCTTAGGCCAAACGAGTATGAAACTATTTTCACCTGACTGTAATCAGTAAAATAACACCACAACTGTAGGACAGCTATGGTCAGGAAAAAAGCAAATGGTGCATAAATACTTTTGGATAGCTGATATGTTGCTTTGTTGTACTGAGAGATTGAGACCCACATGAAAATGCTGTAGTCGAGAAGGCTACAAGAACACAACGCACTGTACTGTATAACGCTACTCCTGGCAGCTGAAGCCCTTGTTGGCTGGTGTTTCATATTACGCACTTGGGGCTGAATTTCCTGCACATTAATATTCGTGCATAACGGATCAAGCACCAGTGTTTCACTACCTGACAGGTACAGTATGGAGAAGTACAGACGGCACATGAACAGGCTGCCCCCTGGAGGTCTCTCCTGCTCAATAGCACTGACCTGAGGCCTATGGGCTCGTTGGCAGTGAATCCAGTGTATGTCCAGAACAAGATTGTGAGAATAGAGAAGTTGTGGGCTGCTGAGTGGAGCCACACTGTCATGGCGACACCAAGCAGGTATGGTCAGCCCTCAACTCCAGTTGCAAGGGGCAATAGGCCAGGAGCAAGTGGGCCGGGCCACTGCACTTAGACAGCTGGGACACGTAGCCGCTCGACCTGCTCAGACAGCTGCAGGAAAATGGCACATGGAGAGCCAGCGCTGTGACAATAGTGCATCACATGCCTCTTATATTTATCACGCTGAATTACACGAAATTATACCGTAAAGCTCTATGTTAACAAAGTAACTCTTTCTGAAAAGTTTAACTGATTAAAAGCAAAAGGTACTGTAGACTCTACTGGGTATGACACCACAGAAACCTCAGGCCACATAAGCAGCCAGGCAAAACGAAGCACTGTAATAACTGCCAGGTGCAGAAAAGTAAAAGTAAGGGGAAAGCGCATGTTAAAGTGGCACATGACCAAGTATAAGGCAGCAAAAACAACTCCTCCAAAAAGCCTTTGGTGACCAGAACCATGAGAACCAGAAAACTCACAAATATCAAGTATGAGACAAGAGAAAGTAAAGTCTGATGACCAGAAAAGCAGTGGGACAGATCAGAGCAGGTAACCAGACCAACCCTAAACCTAACCCAGACCAACCTTAACCCTAAGCCCAACCTCAACCTTGACCCCAACTAACCCTAACCCCAACACCAACCAGCCCTAACCCCAACCTCAACCCTAACCCAAACCCTAACCCAAACCCTAACCCAAACCCCAACCAAGGGGAGGCTGATTCATCACCTTTGGCCCTGAATGCAAGTCACGCTGTACATTTTTTTTCTTTACAATAAAGAAACATTGAGAACATAATATTCACTGCATATTCTGTCAATTCACCAATGAAGAACATTACAGCAGGCAGACAAGGGTCCATGAAACCCAACATGGCCCTCCAGCAACACAGGACCTGCAAGAGACTCCAGGGCACAGAAGATTCTGGTGATTTATGGCACTGAGGTCTAACATCTCCATCACCTACTACTGAACAGGCCAAGAATCTCCCAGTACCTGAAATAAAACCCTTATCCCCTGGCGAACTTGTTATATTCCCTCTGCCTCACTTTCGGAGTGTTAATACATGTAGTAGTTACTAATGAATGAACCAAGGGCTTCCAGAACTACACCAGAGCAGACAAGGTCACTGACAGGGATGTACAGCAATAAGGGTGCATTGCAGGTCTCGGTGCAGACCAAGGCTGTCCACCGAAGTGTCTGCCTGTGCTGCAGGACCATGGACATGACTCAGATGCACCCCCAAGCTTCTCAGAGATGAAGGTCAGCCCTGTCTTGCTCCAGAACCATGAGAGATTGGCAGCTCCACAGCACTGCGCTGCTAATCTCTGCTGTGGCCGACCTATACGATCACCGAAGGCCTGCTGAGGGCCAGCTCCGAGGGCCAAAGGAAGCCCCGATTGTGCCCTGAGCACATGTCCACGGGGGCCGGCTGAGTCCCGTGGTCAGCCTCCTGAGCTCACTTGTCGTTGTCGGTTTGCTTTGTCAGTCAGTCGGAGTGGAGATCAATCAGTCTGTGAAAGAAAGCCAGCTTCGCACGGCCCAGAGAGGGCATTAACACGTGCCATCCGCCTTCACATGCAGGATCTGCGAGAAACCTGGTCTTTTCCTCAAGGCCTGTTTTAAAAGAAAACAGCAGTAATTAGCCAGATACTAAAAGCATAGTGTTAAATGGCACATCTATTTGTATTTCATCTGAAGAGATCTCACTCAAAAAGCCATATATGCTGGAATGTGGCATCCATATGCAGACTCCTGAATCTGTAAGCAGAATCCGAGCCTGAGCTCACCCCCAAGGTGGGGTCAGGCCCTCACTGTTTATTCGACATGGCCCTACACTGCTTAGGCATGTAGAATCATACAGATCCAGGATATCACCAGGGTGATAACTGATACGTCACCCTGACAACTGAATCAGTAGGGCCCTAACCTACAGAATTTTTGTTCAGACTCTGAGTAGATATACAGACGTCAGACAACGAAACACCTGATTTTACACCACAATAATTTATTAGTATGGTGTAGGGCTTCCTTTTGCAGCCAATACAGCATCAATTCATCTTGGGAATAAAAGATACAAGCCCTGCACAGTGGCCAGGGGGATTTTGAGTTATTGCTCTTTCAGAACAGTGGACAGGTTGCTATGAGTTTCTGGTGGAGGAAAACATTTCCTGACTCACTCCTTCAAAAAAAAACCCCAAAGCGGCTCAATAATATTCAAGTCTGGTGACTGTGCTATGGGAGATGATCAACTTCACTTTCATGTCAATGCACTCTGTCACCAGTCTTGCTGTGTGTATTGGTACATTATCATCCTGATACATGGTACCATTTTCAGGGTGCAATGTTTGAAACACTGGGAGAATATGATCCTCCAGAATGGTTCGGTAGTCCTTGGCAGTGACGCGCCCATCTAGAGGTAGGGGACTAGGGAATGCCATGATGTTGCAGCCCACACCATCAGTGATCCACCCCCGTGCGGAACTCTGAATACGCTACATTCCGGGTTGTTGGGGCTTTGGCACAAGTGACCAAAGGTTAGCTATAGCAGCCCGGCCATAAATACTGACCCTATAGGGCTCCCAACAAACAGTTTTGGTGGAAACGGGAGAGTCATTTAATTCTGCAGTGATTTGGGTAGCTGTGGTTTTATGTTTTTTGGATACAATCTGAGTTAGCACTTTGACATCCCTTTCAAACAGCTTCCTCTTACATCCACAGTTACTGCTGTCGGATGTGGTCCGTCATTTGTGCTGGTATGCTGACATTACCTTGGATTCCGTGGCTCTCGATACGTCACAAAGATTTGCATGAAGCCTCAGGCACTATATTGGCCAGTGTTTCAGTTTCACTGTCCAACCCCTGTATTAGACACATTAGAAGGACACTTCCTTATTTCAACTGACTGTGAGCCTTACCTGAAGCTTGTTCACCATCTCGTCAAACAGCTTCCTGGCTTCAGGGCTGTTGGGATCTTCAAAATAGTCTGCGATCCCAATCTGCACCACGATGGACTTCAGGTTACGGCACACGCCTGTAGCCAAAAACGATTTCCCACACGGTTTATCAAATGGAGCAAACATTTTGGGAAGGGCACTATACATAAACATAAAGACAAGTGAGGCAATATGTGCATGAAGCCCTGACAGGTGTCTGTACTCACTGTATAACCCTGACAGGCACCAGTACACACTGCATAAGCCTGACAGGTGTCTGTACTCACTGTATAACCCTGACAGGCACCAGTACACACTGCATAAGCCTGACAGGCACCAGTACACACTGCATAAGCCTGACAGGCACCAGTACACACTGCATAAGCCTGACAGGCACCAGTACACACTGCATAAGCCTGACAGGGATATGTACACACTGCATAAGTCTGACAAGCACTTGAATTCACTGTATAATATCCCTGACAGGCACCTGTTATCACTGTATAATATCCCTGACAGGCACCTGTTCTCACTGTATAATATCCCTGACAGGCACCTGTTCTCACTGCATAAGCTTGACAGGCACCTGTACTCACTGCATAATCCTGACAGGCACCTATAATCACTGCATAACCCTTACAGGCTCCTGTTCTCATTGCACAACCCTGACAGGTACCTGTACTTACTGCATAAGCCTGCCAGGCACTTGTACTCTGTGTATAATGTCCCTGCCAAGCACCTGTACTCACTGTATAATCCTGACAGGTCTCTATACTCACTGTATGAACCGAACAGGCACTTGCACTCATTGTTTAACCACGACAGGCATTTGTACTCACTGTTGAAGTGCAGCAAGGCCTTGGGTGTGACTGGGGTAGATGTCAACACCAGCATCTCCAGGCCCTTCAGCCCCTCCCTGCACACCTCGGCTGCCACCTCCTGGTTGATCTCACTCACATGGTCCAGCTCCAGAACCTGGAGGTGCACACAGTTGCGTGCTGTGCAGAGCAAGTTGTCCAGGTGCACAGAGAGAACAGGCATGAGTCAGAAAAGTTATATATATATATATTTATCCACAAGATCTCCTCTTTTAAAAGATATCATGGCTGCTCTTCTTCACCGTAGTATACCAAACCGTAGTATACCAAAACAGTATTATGTGGTGTGCTCCGCTAATCGAATTTAAGAAACATAAAGATACAGATTACTAACTTTTGGGTATCACAAAACGCATCTCATTAATATTTAAGCCATACTACTAATCCTCTTACCAAATTATGGGTGTAAATAAATGTCCGTATAGCACCGAAAAGCTGGCGTCCGGCCAAATGCTTCGTCTGTCACCTGAAGCCCTGGTGATTATTTTGCACGCGCGATATAATATCGATATGATATCACCCAGCCCTAGCTGGAGCTCACAAATCCCTGGACATTCACAGACATCAGTGTCGTGCTTCTTACACAGTACACGAGCGGCTCACTCACCTAAAGACGCAAGGCCTTGAATGCCACAGCCAGCCCCACCCACGCCCAGAGCTCTCAGGTGTGGCCAGCATCGGCCAATGGTCTGCAGGCATCGATTGCTAAAGCGGGCTGGCTGCTGGCTAGAAGACAGTACAGAGAGCCGGATGGAGTGAAGCGAAAGACACCGGCAAGCCCTCCATGCTCACACCGCACACAAGTGACAGGGTACAACCCTTCAGACGATCTGTGACTCAGTTCCAATGTAGCATAAAATGTCTCCCATTCCTCACCATGGGTAAAGTGGGGCCACCTGTAGGGAGATGATGTCTCGACAGCCAGCACCCAGGGCCCAGATGACCTCCTGGCCAATAGGGTCTGTGGCGCTCCTACGGCACAACACAACAACCCTTTTCACACACTGTTCAAACACTTGTGGTTGACCTCTACAGCACAGACATGGTGTGTCAACTATGTTCCCAATCAGGGGGACCATGTGGGACAGCAGGCAGATTATTGGAGAAAATGACTGTGTCCCTGAGCACACAGAGACCCACCTGTAAGTGACAGCCTGCAGACCACGGCAGTAACAGCTGGCCAGCCACAGGGAGCGATCGGTCACAATGTTGGGGCACTGTGATACCTTAAAAATAAGCAGGTTCCCACCTGCCGCCTTCAGCAGAGCTTCGAGACCCTCCTCCAGGACCCCCCTGGAAAACAACCCACCAGGAGAAAATTAACAGAGCTAAATCCATCCATCATTCCATCCAACCATCTTCCATAAGCACTTATCCAGAACTGGGTCATGGTGAGACCAGAGTCTGTCCCAGAAAGCAGGGGACAGGAGGCAGGGGGAGAGCAGGCCATGCACTCAATTACATACAAAGGGCATTTCACATAATGGTGCACATTTAACAACAAACAATTCCATTGCACAGGAAATCTTCAGAGCACTCCTGTTCACACCTGGCATTAACGTGTTCTTGGGGAACCTGATCACTAGTGGACAGAGCTAAATACAGGTGTGAGTGCACCCAAAACGCACCAAGACCTGATTGCTCAAACCACATTCAGAGGTGGTCTAGGACGCATATGGCCACATTCTTATAGCAGTGTGAACGCAAATGTGTCTCGGGCCGCATTGAAGGACCGACTACCCAGCCAACGTGCTCGTGCAGATGGACGTACGTACGTACTCATTAAACACGCAAGCGGTATTTAACATGTGATTAATGCCAGAACACAAGTCAGTGCAGAGTTGGCCATTCTCTACTAAACTGCACTGGGAACAGCAGAGCACCTTTTTCCCTACATCACCAAAAAATTACTCTGAGTCCGCTGGGACGTTGGTTTAATGGCAGACTGTCCTGACCGATTCGCATGGAAATGTTGTCATCAGTGCGCATCAGTAACGTTCCGTGCAAATTCAGGAAAAATAAATTGTGCAAGCAGTGATTTCTGAAAGATGTTTTGAAATTTGCGCGGATCATATATTTGATGCGCATTTTGATGAAGCTTCTGTATTTATGTCAAAGCTGCTCCAGGTTTATTAATATTGGTACCTGAAATACGTCAGAAAAAATGACATGAGTACAAAATTAAACCATGTGGGTAAGAGTGTGTGTTCAATAAACTAGATAAAGGATGTTAATAGAAACATATAATAACAGTGTGATTGTTTGTATAGTTTTATATTGGGCTGTCCGGGGGCTTGAACTCCTGGTCAGAAATTCAGTCCCACTCCAGTCCTGACTACTTCGCGTTTTTTACTTCACCTCTTCCAAGTCAGACGTATAATTCAGCGTATCAGACAAAACAATAAACCTTAATCTCATTTTGAGTATTATGGTGTTTCCATACAGACATCTTAGGTGGCTTGTTTACCCTGGAATGCACCAGCAGCTTTTGATTTACATGCTAATTTAAATAAGCTGCGGGAAAGAGAGACACGATTACAAAGTCGGTCGAGATGCATGCGGACATGCATGCTAATGCCAGGTGTGTTCAGACGTATTTAGCGCCGTCCACTTGTGATCAGATCACCCAGGATGCGTGTTAATGCCAGGTGTGAACAAAGCCTTTGAAAGATAACCCAATACAGCAATCAGCACTGGGACTCCATGTAGACAGATGGTGAGTTACTACACCTGAATTTACACTTTTTTTTACCCATGTGCACATATAGTCAGCCAGTTCCGTACTCACAAGTACTAATCTGTTCATATGTCAAACAATGGAGGTAGGACAGTCTCTCCAGCCTGTTTATGGGCATTAACCCCAACCATAACCCCAAGCCCATACCTGGTGCTCTTAAGGTAGTCCTCCTTGGTCTCCTTTTTGCCGCGCTGCCTGGGCTTCAGGTTCTGCAGGATTACGGAGTGGGTCTGGGTGCACCACTGAGACAGCGTGATCATGAACTGGAAGAGACACACAGCCAATGAATGTGGCACAGCGCAGAGCCTCCTGACAGCAGCAACCTTCAGAAACTTTCCAAGGCTGAAGCCATGATCCAACCACAAAACCCTTGACACTGTCAAAATATACCAAATTCAAGTCTACATAAGCCGTCAACACTTGCTAGTTTTGACGATTCCACCATATGGAAACTATAACACAGAGTGTTTCCGGCAAGTTCTAAACATTGGTTAGGTGTTGAGACCTGCATCCCATCCTGCTTTGCCAGTGTAAGGGGCCATTTCGTTATTTAAATAAATACTGAATGCAAACAGTGATTTATTTATGTTTTAATGAGCTTCTCGATACCTTTACAGTCTGAAACGAGGCCAGAGTTCTGGCTTGTACCTTGGAGGAGATGCGGCCATTTTCCAGCAGCACACGGGTCCAGACGGCGGGGTGCCGGGCCACAAATCGCCAGTCGTGGCACACCTGGGCCGCCCGCAGCAATGTCCTGGTGTCCAGGTAGGTGAAGATGCAGAAGAGGGCCGCTCGCATCTTCAGGGTCTCTGGACTAATCATCTCCACAGATCTGCTGGGGCTGTCCTTCTCCTGCACGCAGGTCTGGGGGGGGCCCTCTGACCCATCTACGGCAGTGGGAAAACGAGACTGCCCTTCAGAGATGCCATTTCTCAGTGAGAAGACCCCTTCAGCTCTTCACCTTAGCAGAATAGCTAGCACTCCTAAGGTGAGCGGGGTGCTGAGTTTACATGAGGTATATGACAGTGATGAGGCACATGAAAGTGAAGAGGCACATGACAGTGATGGGGTGCTGAGTTTACATGAGGTATATGACAGTGATGAGGTACATGACAGTGTTGAGACTGCGCCTGGTTTCGAGATGGTTATGAGATCAAAATGAAGTTTTTGGTTTCGGTATCATGTGGGGGGGGAGGGGGGGAGTTGAGATAATAATGATTAATTTTAATAACTGCACTACAAACACCAATACTGAAAAAAGCATGACAACAATTACAATGAATTAATAAATTAATAAATTTATATAATTACAAACCTTTAAACAACTGAGAAACACATGTAAATAAGACCCACCCAGTGGTAATATAGTTAACATTTATTCTTTTATCAGTGAATGGAGTCTGTCAGTTGGCCACAATGTGGCGCCCAAGACCATACTGTATGTGATGTTGTGTTACATAAGACGATATGAAGTGCTAATATTATTCAAGACAGACGCTAAGGGAAGGATAGCTGCCAAAGCCTTGCTGAAAGTCAGTGCTACACTGTTACAGCCCAAACCCATGTGGCCCCAGGACAGCAGACAGTGCCTCCTGCCTCCCGTAAGATGGCGTGCTGACACACCTGTGCTAACATGGCTGGAAAAAACTCTACCTGTTCCCAAGCGATAGCGAGGCTTTCTGCCTCGAGACTTCAGAGGCTCGGAGGGGCGGTTCTCCAGCTCCCAGACCTCCACCTCAGACTCCGTGGTCCGCGAGCCGACGTCAGACACGTCTCCCTCTTCGCCCTCGGTGCTGTTGCGGTAGGGCCGGTGCTGCCAGTTCTGGAGAGCCTGCTTGCGGAGCCCCCACCCACGTGGGTCTCCGCCACGCTCGCAGCTGCCCTCGCCCAGCCTGCACGCCACGTGGGAGTACTGCCCTTCCACAGACAGCATGTCCACACTCACGCCGTCGTAGGTCCCTGAGCCCTGACCTTTCATTTGGCTGGAGTCCCTGTCACAGGGGCGAGGGGGTCAGGACACACAGCTTCTAACAGCACAATGCCAAACTGCATCACTGAATTCCTATTTACAAATGATTTAACATTACAACAACTTTCACTTCATTCGTATTCATTTGAATTCAGCCTCATGCTTACCTGAATCAGCAGTATAACTAACATTTAAAGTTCAGCTAACAGCAGACAGAGCTAATGAGCAGGGCTTTGATCCACTGCATAGAGGCAGTAAGCAGTTTTATGATGTGTAGACAGGATTAGGGTTAGCACACGTACCCTGTGCTGGGAGAGCGTCGCGTCGACACTGGATACAAAGCCCCAGAATCTGCAGAAGCACTGGAATTCCTCTGGAGGACACGGAGAAGCAGACAGACAGACAGATGGCTGTTATCTGCTATCATTTAGGGCTGTCACTATCCATTATATCAATAATCAAGTAAGCTGTCTATTAATCTCCTTAGAGTCCTTAATAATATAATGTAATATAATATAATATATAAAACTGGCTGCTGGAAATCTGCGGCCACACAGGGTGGACTCCACAAACACAAAGAGTCTTGTGTGTTATGCACATTAATACTGATATTATTGCACATGCAACTGTCACATCAAAAGGACCATGGTGCTAGGTTCAAACCATCGATTTTTACTCAGTCATAGGAAGCCAAACTTAGTAAGCTTTGCAATTTTAATGATGGTTCCTTTTCAACCATATCTAGTATGGAGCTGAACAGGGGGATTAGGAAGGGAAAGGACAGCTACAGGAGGAAACTGGGGAGACTTCTTCAGGGGAATAAGAGGTCTGGAAGGGTGTGGTAAGAACAGCGGACAGGGTCCAAAATCTGGAGACAGGAACAAACTCCACCTGTTTTATAATAGATTTGATGCTGCACCCACTACTACATCTGCATCCACCCACCTGGGCCCAGACCTCCAACACTTCCCACCCCCCTCAGCCTTCTGAAGTCACCCTCCAGTCCTTCCCCCTTCAGCCTCTCCATAACAACAGATCAGGTGAGGATTGGGCTGAGGAAGATGAAGGTGCAGAAGGCTACGGGCCCGAATAGTATCAGTTCCAGACTGCTCGGAGACTTTGCTGCTCAGGGACATTTTCAATCGCAGCCTAAGTCTGGAGAGAGTCCCAACCCTGTGGAAGACCCACTGTGTGGTTCCTGTCCCCAAGACTGTAAACCCTAGGGAGTCCAGTCACTTCAGGGTGGTAGCCTTGACATCCCATCTGATGAAGAGACTGGGGAGGATCATACTCAGCCACCTTTGACACCTAGTTAGCAGTGAGCTGGTCAATAAACGGCAAAAGCAAAACTGAAGGCATTGGAGGCTGCTGACTGCTGACACATGCCCAGGTTGGCTCCACTATCTCACCTCACCCAGCCAACGATGCCTGAGCTAGGAATCAAACATCCCTGGGATGGGCAGCATACAGAAACGCACCCCTCTGCCCCAACTCTAACCCCCTGTCCTAACCCTAACCCTAACCCTAACCCTCACCCTCACCCTCACCCTCGGCCTGCCCGCCCTACCTGGCGCCGGCTACCCTTCCGTCCCGACAGGCTGCAGTGACTCAGGCTGCCGTTGGGCGTCGTGCCACAGCTGCTGACGATCTGCAGTTGCTTCTCGGCTCGGTCGGCACGATCCAGCAGCTCCTCGATGAACCGCTGCAGACGCAGCTTGGCATTCGCTTCCCGCGCAGCAGTGTCCTGGAGGAACTGGTCAATCTGAGTAACCTCCCTGTGCAGAAGGGCAGGTGAGAGGTATGAATCAGGCAGCAAACTCTCACAGCGGTCCAAACCATGAGTCAGACACCAAACGCACTCACAGCGGCACACACCGCAAGTCAGGCACCAAACAGTCATAGCGACACGCACCACATGTCAGGCACCTTCAAAGAGCTGTTATTGTGCAACCCTTGAGTCAAGCACATTGTGGTGTGGAAACACCTCAAATTTCATTATTGCGTTTCAGTATTGATTGCTCTCCAGGTTTAGCCATTGCTTTGCTAATTTGATAGACATAAGAAATTGTAATCTGCTTGAAATATGCATTTATTATATAACAAGAACAATAGAATAACATTTGTGTTATCAGTTAAAGCAGATTGTGTTTGTTCATTAATGTAACTTAGATGAAGATCAGATCACATTTTATGACCAATAGAGAAAACCAGGTAATTCCAAAGGGTTCACATACTTTTTCTTGCACTGAATATAGACAGAATTGTATCTGTTATTATTGTCTTAACTCTGTTTGTCCATATAGTATGTGTGTGAGCGATTGACATCCGGTGGACAGATTCCCTGCCTGTGTATGAACATACTTGGCCATATAAAGCTGATTCTGATAGTTGCTGTGCTAATGCACAGCTCTATGAACGGCAATGATGAGCACCTCCCCTCGTGGAAGTGGGACACAGCCTCTCGATTACACGGAACCACATCTCAGCCTCTAGACTCTGGTTCCTGTACACGACTCCAGCGTGGATCCACCAAGACATCACTGATAAACCAGGTCATTCATCCTAAATCAATTATGAAGGGAAAACGCATGGCATGTAAGTGAATCTTTCAGGTCACCCTTCATCATTCTGCAACAACACGCCATCGCTCTTCCTTATCCTGGCTCTGTCACCCAAGTCAAATGCAGGGATAAGCAAGGATGTCAGAGAGCACAGATGCTGAGTGATTTATAGAAACCTAATAGATACCATTTATGCCTTATTCTTGGGCTCCTCGTGGAATTAAGAATGCAAAAATAGAAACATTTAAACATACAAAATATTTTTCAATAGAATATTCAGTGTACTCTTTCCTACTAAATCAATTATTGAGATGACAGGATCACATTTGCACATTTATGCCCTGATAGTCCTGGGGGCTTCAGTTTGGAAGCAGAGCAGACGCGGACTGGATGGGGAGTCACTAAATGAGCTGCATTCCAGAGCGACCTCGTTTGGGAATCCAAGTGTGTCGAGGAGCGCTCAGCCTTGATGGGGCCCTTCCTCTACAGCCTAACTCCATCTTCCAGAAATACCCATAAACCCAAGTAATGGCAGTTATGCCATTAAGCCTCTGTTCTATTTTATTTTGACATCCTCAGAGAACAAATAGCAGCAGTGTTTGTTCACCCCAGGACTTGGCTGAAGCTTCCATGTTTAGAATCAGAACCCACATGTGACTTCGTGACATAGCAGGGGGCAGCTAATTTGGCGCTTGGGAAGCAGTGCATGGGGGTGGTACCTTGCTCAGGGTACCTCAGTGGTGCCTTGGTGGCCAGGGATTCAAACCAGCAACCTTTCAATTACAAGTGCGCTTCCTTAACCATTAAGACACCACTGCACATGTTTCTACAGAGAGAACCTATAAAGCTCTACCTGACCAAAGAGGGAAATCAGGATGGCTGTAGGAGCATCTTCTGAGCTCACCATCAGCAACTCAGCATAGAGAGCACTGATCATGGATACCGTGAAACAGGTCACAAGCACATACTGCCCATCTGCACTTTTTAGGCACTTCAAGGGTTCACACACGTTATAAAAGCAGTGACTAAGGTTGGTGCTGACTGCTAATGTGCCTGGAATTTAGCCATCACCGACTGGAAAGATGAAACTGGCCATAAAAGCTTGGGAAAAATAGACTTCATCAGGAATCAGGAAATAAACAGCAGAAAATCACAAGCTGTAAGGAGCATAACCAGAGATTACAGTAACGAGATTACAGTTCATCCATGCAAAACAGAAATGCAGCACTCTGAATAAAACATACACAAAACTGTCTTTACTCTTAGATGTCTGTAGAGTAGAAGAGTCCCAGTGGACTAAAACCTGACTACTGTGCTGAATGTAAAAGGTTCCTCAGTCTTGTCGCACTCCTACCTGTAAGCCCGGCCAGGCCTTGGTATAAAATACATATTTATAAATGACATATTTCTTTAGCTATATGTGAATGAGGCAGTCCGTCGCACGCCTCTGTTGTGTCTTAACTGCATAATTTACCTCTTCCTCAAAGTCATTCGCTAAAATGAGATTACGTCTCTGGTTAAATGGTCTGCTTTCTGGAGTTTTCTTAAGCACCTGAGATTGGATGTATGCTTCAATGTTTACTGGGATTCCTAATTCTTTCATATACTTTTTGTAATAAATCGTCACCACGCCTTCCCAGGTCTTCGTAAAAATGATTATCTTTTCTCCGATTTACATATTATAGCCAGCTGAGTTCAGAGTGGTGAGGACATTTTGCGCTGCTCGGTCAGCAGAGTTACAGTACTGAAGTGGAGAGTGAAGGGCAGATGACTACAGAGCCAAACGAAAGGAGGGATGAGGGTGAAGACTATCGCTACAGAACTAATCAGTGTTGTACTGTCAGTCACCTTTGCGCTGTTATGCGTCCGAGTGATTTAAACCTGAGATGCCCCCCCAAAATAGTTTCTCTATAATAGTTTAGTACTTTACAAGAACTTTTATTTTCGTGTTAAATGCATATACACACATATCACATAAAAAAATCGTATCTCAATCCCCCTTCTTTGCCCACTGTGGCTATTTGTAAATCTTGGGTCAGACATTTAGGAGAAAATGGCTCTTTGCTTTATAAAGTTTGCTGACCTCTGCCCTAGGAGATCTCTGATGATAAAGATATGCACTTTATCTAGACTACCTTCTCTCTCCCAGGTAATACTTACTTTTCACTTTTTTTAACTTACAGGTTCGCTCAGCACGTCATGCCTTCAATATTCCTTTAAACTGTCCCCTAATCAATCACCCTTTAGTTAAATCCCTATCAGTGAGAATGAGTCTGACATCAGATTTATAAAGGAACTTGGCTTGTCAGGCACCTACTAAGATCTCTTTGCGTGGGCTGTGGGAGTGGAAGATGCAGACCAATACCAAGCTGATATAGGACAGGACCTGGGGTAATACTTTTCTTTCATCCAGAAACTTAGCCAACCGGTTAATCCACTTTGCACTTATTCACAGGGCCTACAAAACTCCATTAAAACGATTCCAGGTTAATGGTATTGATAATACACATTGTTACCTCTGCACCAATGGGGCAGTTGGTACAGTTTACCACATGATTTGGGAATGGCCAATCATTGCTGGGCTATGGTCCAGAGGAGCCTCTGTGTTGCCTAGAGCCCTGGGCACCCTGACCTAACGACTCCTTTATGCAGCTCTCCACCCCGCAGCATGCGCTTCTCGTAGCCGCATGCAAAGCTGGAAAAAAAAGCATAATGCAGGTGTGGTTTAAACCTACCCTGCCAGTTTGGTACTTGGATCTAAAACGTCATGCATATTGCCATGCGCGAGAAATCATGTGCAAAACTGCAGGAGCAGAGGTCACAACCACAGAGGCATGGTCGAATATCACATATCTCAAGAGCAGGTGTGAGTCATTTGTCCCCTTGTAATGGTGTTAATGATGGCACTGATGCTAGAGTTGGTGTCGACGCAGAATCGAATCAGAATATTCATACAACTACAATACTTATAGAATCTCAATACATATCGAATCGGCACCTAGGTATCGTGATAATGTATCGGGAGGTCACTGGTGATTCCCATCCGCAATATGAAGCAACTACTACTGCAATATGATACAATTCACCTCTATTGCAATGCAGTGCAATTCGACTCTATATGATACGATGCATAGCCAGACACTCCTTCAACTGGCAGAAAACGTGGCCAAGGGACTTGCGGAGAGTTGGCCACTGACAGAAGTGGAAAGCTGGAGATGAGGGAGGACACAAAGTTTATAGATCAATCTAAATATAAAATTATATAAAATACCAATCTAATATAAATATCAACTATAGAATATCAGTATAAATAAATGACTGGTCAGAAATCAGTGGTCATATTTCTGAATAATAAAGTCAAAGGGCTTCTACTAATAATTGAATATTTATGTAACCCTAACTGTGTGCTGCTTCCTGGTCGATAACTCCAGTGGGCAGGGCAGGCCTGGCCCAGGACCCTCCTGTCGGGACACTCTGCGGTGTGTTTTAGTATGTTGGTGATGTGGCATGGCGTGGTGAGAGGTGCAGGCCAGGCCCGGGACCCTCCTGTCGGGACACTCTGCGGTGTGTTTTGGTATGTTGGTGATGTGGCATGACGTGGTGAGAGGTGCAGGCCAGGCCCGGGACCCTCCTGATGTGTCGCTGCGTAATAAATTACATATTGCTAATGCAAAGATGTTAGAAACAATGTATCCCGAGTTCATCCCAAAGTGCACACTTTTTTTAATCGGGGCAGTCGCACTGGGAACTCTTATACCGGTGCACCAATGCAAAATAGTGAATCTTACCATCCCTACTACCACCCATGCCCGTGTCAGATATTTTTTGAATAAAAAGTTGTTCATAAAAAAAAAAAGATTATTAGAATAATATTAGAATATTTAACTTGATAAGAATCGTTTCATTGATATGTTTAATTAGATTATGTACATTTAACTGTATAGCAACATTTTTTATTATTACTGTACATTATGTATGAATGTTTTGAAAAGGTTTGTGTTTCATTAAATTAAAAATTGTTCACATTCCTCTTGATATGATGTGTCATGTTTTATTAGATTATTGTGTATTCAGTTTCATAGTGGCAGCAAGCATGTAAAGTTTAGGATTAAGATCTTTTAGTTGTAGTGCCCCTCGGTTATGGAATGCTCTTCCTCTTCACATACACACAGTCACTTCAATCTCTTCTCAAAACCCACTTATTCACACTGGTCTTTCATACATAATACAAATCTATTAGCAACTTAGTTATTTTCCACTGAAGTTATCGTAGAATTAATTGATTAGAGATTATTATAATTAATTGTTTGTTTCATCTATTTTATCATATTGTTTGTTTTGTTTATTTTGTTTTATCTATTTTGTTTCTTTTAAATTATTTGTTATTCTATTGTTTTATCTTTTGTTCTGTGTGTTTTTATCTTGTAAGGTGACCTTGAGAGTTTTGAAAGGCGCCCACAAATAAAATGTATTATTATTATTATTATAAAGTAATAAAATACATTTACAAATGTTTCTAAAAAGATTTGTCTTGGTTACATGTAACATAAATAGGCATGCAAGTAAATGCATATCATTATAGCAAAACTCCTACTTTTATCATTTTATCAAGGTAATAAAGGAGGGGGCGGAGACAAGAGGGCAGCCTGGGAGGGGCAGAGACAAGAGGGCCGCCTGGGAGGGGGCGGAGACAAGAGGGCAGCATGGGAGGGGGCGGAGACAAGAGGGCCGCATGGGAGGGGGCGGAGACAAGAGGGCAGCATGGGAGGGAGCGGAGACAAGAGGGCAGCCTGGGAGGGGGCGGAAGACGGCAGCCCGGGAGGGTGTGGGGAGGGTAGCTTGGGTGGGGACGTAGATGGGAAGGGGTCATGTGGGTGCCTCAGCCTGCCTTCGTACTTTAGTACCCTTTGAACTCACCCACCACATGGCTAAGTGTGACGCCTTATTTAAAAACGAGATGTTTCTTATCAGATAAATGTTAACATGATGTCTAATTCACATTAGGCTGCATTAATAGGATGACACCATCCTGCAGCTCTGTGATGCTGGGATAGATGAGACACATTCCAACGACAGGAAGTGTGGCTGATACTCACTGCTGTTTAAGGGTCAGTTCCTGCTCCTTGTTGACCAGGTCCTGCTTGAGGCTGGCTAGCATCTCCACGGAGACGTCCACCTGGTGCGAAAGCTCCGAGGCCTTGCCTTCCAGGTCCTGCTTCTCTTGGCCAAGCCTCACGCTCTCCTGCTTGGCCTTCTCCAGCTCCATGCTTTTCTTCTCCAGCTCTGCCTGCAGGCGGCCCACGCGTGCCGTTATCTTCTCTTCCACCTCCTCTGACAGTTTCTCCAACCGTTCGTCCAGCTCCAGTCTCTCAAAGGCCCTCAGCCTCAGCCGGGCCAGACCCTCCTCGTAGGCCGCCTCCATGGCACTGGCGGCCACCGCCAGAGCGCTGCTGGGAGTGGGAGGGCCGCCAGAGGTCATGTCTCGTTTGATGAAGATCTCCCCCAGGGGAATGTCCACCTCTGGGATGTAGCGGGCGGTTGTGGTCGTCAGGCCCAGATCATCAGCGCACGCCAGTTCATAGGGAAAGCGGTGTTCCTTGTTGCCAAAGGAGGCACGCTCAAAAACCTCCTGCCCCCCGGCTGGGCCCACCAGGGGGACGAGGGCACCCTCACACACGCTGCTGGACTTGGACAGGACGTAGAGGGTCTCATAGGTGTGGCTGTACTCCAGGTGGGCCCTGAGGGAGGACAGGCTGCGGAAGCGCTTGTGCTCCCCACAGCGTGGACAGCGGTACGGCAGGTCTAGCGATGCCATACTGAATCGCCCGGCTCACGCTGCCGCACGGCGGGGCACCCTGGCTCCTCCTCTCATAACGGGTGTAGAGACTTCACTTGGGTTAGGGGCTTCCTGGAAGGAGGGACTGCCCCGCATGCATGCTGATTCACCACAGCAAGTCAAAGATGCCCCGGGCACAGGAACGAAGCCCTCAGACACTCAATGGCCTTGATTGCCTGAACTTCTTCAAGCTCTTACCTGCCAAACCTGGAAGAGAAGAAGATGGCCAGGGTGAGGACCACCAGATGCACCAGCATGTATTCGTGAACAGAAATAATCGGTCTGACCAAGGAGGAGACCAATTATTGTTAACTTACGGTGATATAATACATCATAACATCTATCCATCTAACCGATCTTCCTGGTCAGAGTCACGTCAGACCTGAAGCCTATCACAGGTAGCACAGGGCATGGGGATGGGGTACACCCTGGACGGGATGCCAATCCAGATCATAATGCCAGGCTAAGAGAAGAACATTTGCAGATGCAGTACTCCAGCACACAAAACGAAGTGCGAGACTTCCAGTTCAGTGAGGTGCAATTACAGTTAACCACAAGAAAACAGTGTGGGCAGCATGCGGGCCTTTAGCAGCAATGTGGTGTTCCAGCGAGCCCTAAGACTCTACACATCACCCAGGGGGGTCATGTGGCTCTCATGAAGGACACACATTGACGGTGTGCCTGTTAGCCAAAGCCAGAGCCTGTGGCCTCCCCTATCAGCCAGGGCTCAGCTCCCTGTGTCTGTCAGCATCAGACATCCCGCCACTTCGCATAATGCACCTCTGCTGTTTCTCTAAAGTTATATGGCAATATTACACATTACATTTCTACAATACAGACAGCTAACTGCTGAAGGCAATAATTCTGCATGAACGTGCTGAGGTCGTACCACTAAAACCATTACAATGCAGCTGGCGTTTGACAGGGGAATCATTATAAATCTGACTTAGCTGTTACTTCACATTAAAAAGCAGAAATCAAACATAAGTGATATAGATGATTACAGATTATGAATTAATTCCACAGCTGTTTGAAGTTTTCATGCCAAAACTCATCTCTAAGAGAAGGTAAAATTATCCCAAACAAGTGATAAGCATCGGAAAATGCATCCTACTGAATATTTTCTTCCACAGCATTGCTGCAGGAAAGGCACCTCGCTTAGAAGAAGCCAAAGATCTGAGGGGGTGAGAATACTCATGTTAATCTTCATGAGCCTATGGAGGAGGACCATGGCAGTGAGAGAACTCCGCGTCACTGGCTGGTAAACTGGCTGGTAAGTGCCAGCGGGGGCAGGGCCCCATCCCACTGCCAGGGATGGCGCCAGACGGACAGCGGGGGAATTTAATTGGGCAGAAGGGAGCTCGGTGGGCTGTCAGTTACATATCGCTGCCTGGCATGGAAGTGTGCGGCTGGCAGACTGGCCTTCATACTGCCCGTTTTCTCTCAGCATTTGAAGCTGGGAACTGTGGAAACCCACACGCCACATGCAGACCTCAGCCATGCTAAAATCGCTACCACGAGGTACGTCGGGTCAAACACCCGCGCTACCACCGGGACCCCCGCTACCTCGAGGCACATCGGGTCAAACGCCCGCGCTCCCACAGGGACCCCCGCTACCACGAGGCACATCGGGTCAAACACCCGCGCTCCCACCGGGACCCCCGCTACCTCGAGGCACATCGGGTCAAACGCCCGCGCTCCCACCGGGACCCCCGCAACCACGAGGCACATCGGGTCAAACACCCGCGCTCCCACCGGGACCCCCGCTACCTCGAGGCACATCGGGTCAAACGCCCG